ATTCCATCAAGCATAATCCTTTTCGAGAAACTAACAGTTACTCAGCTAGTCTATAGATTGCCTTGCTTTTATGGGCTCAGAACTGTGTTGGCTTGTTCACAAGATCTTGCCACTGGAATCTGTTCTGGGCCAGATAAATCCGGTCCACCCCTTTCCCACTATACTATAAGATCCATTTTAATATTATTTTTACATCTACGACTATGTTTTCTAAGTGTCTTTTCGGGCCGCGCCATAGCTCAAGCGGTTAGTCTCTGGGTTCCCATCGCGGCGGCCCGGGGTTCGATCCCGGGTCTGGTCAAGTGGGATTTGTCGTGGACAAAGTGGCGCTGGGGCAGGTTTTCTCCGAGTACTTCGGTTTCCCCTGCCAATCTTCATTCCACCAATTGCTCCACAATCACCCCCACCTATCATCTGGGACTGGTACAATAGGCCAGAAGTGGCCGCAGTACAAGGAACTTAGTTCCACCCCGTTAGCAATAAAAAAGTGTCTTCTCAGGTTTTCCAGCCCAAATTCTGTACGACTTCCTCATAGCTCTCTTGTTTACCATACATCTCAACCATCTGGTTGTGCTTCATTTGATCGCTCAAACATTATTCGATGAAAAATATAAATAAAATCTCCTGATTACAAAATTGTCTACAACCTCCTGTTACTATGCCCCCCTTCCTTCTCAGGTTCAACTATTCTCCTCGGCTTTATGTTCTGTAAGGCCTTAACATGAGGACGAGGAACAAAGTTTCTTATTCATACACGAAATAGGTAAAATTTTAGGTATATGATTTACATGTTCATAAATAGAAGACGAGACAAGAATGCCTTCTTGTGGGGTGTGGTGCCGTGTAGATATTCTATAAACAGACATTTCTGATGAACATATCGCCTCCATCTTCAGGATAGAAAAAAAAAAGAAAAATTCGCCATCGAGGAACCAACGTGAGCAGGTGGCTTCAGACATTCCTCCGAAACGTCGGTTAATACAATATCTAAACGGCGCTACATCCCAGAAGACAACATTCTTCATAGTCATGCCATGAAAACCTCAAATCTTATACAGGCTCTTTCAGGTTTATGGTTTTAGGCAGAAGAATAGAAGATTCTAAAATTAATGGCAACAAAAGTTCGTCGGATTTAACCTACTGTCAGGTTCTTCGTGAATATAATTTATTTCTTACTGCCGTCTCCAAATATATCTAAAATTTTCATATCTTTACAGGATTCTTTTTGCACTAATCCACTTCTAACGCTGATCTCCAACTAGTGCCGAAGTCAAGAAAAATGGATCTATACGTCCACTCTCCCATACGTCTTCATGGCCTAGTGCTGAATTAGTGAAGCACAGGGATAAATTTACCCTTTTTACCTTTTTAATCCACTTTGAATTTTATTTAGAGCAATGGGTCTCAGCGGTTTTCTCCCAACCTATAAGTCTCTCACGCATTTCTTTAATTAAGATTCGAGACGTGGAGGTAATCACTTTCCCCTACCCACACACCTCATACAACTTTGCAGTAATTGCCGAATCCTGCTATGCTGGTAATACACCACCAAAAGCACTTCCCAACTACTGTCTCCCGAAAGTCAATTTCATTATAAGGTTTGAAGCAAAATAGAGTCGAGTTTCCAGCATCATACATTACACACCCATTCCCCTTCTATTCAGCTCGCTTCCTGGGAATCCCCTAATTTATTGCCCTTACAAAAGAAATGGTTTAAAAGCATAACTTCTTTTCGACATAAGAGCACAGTATTCTGGTATATGCCGTCCTGTAATTTGGTAGATGGATACTGTACCTTTCTCTAGAAACCTGCTGCTTCTGTCTCCTTCTGCTCTGAAGGCAGAAGAAGCAGGTTTCATCCAAAATATCGACATCCATCTACCAAACTATACGGTGTCGTAGGGCATAATTTTTATGCCTCAGCAAGAATATGGTTTCGAGTTAACCGCACTCCCAATCTTTGCAGCTGTATCCCGCACCCTTGATCAAGAACTCCTCGCCAAAAAGGGGAAAGAGAACGATGCCCGTCAGGTAATTGAAGGTCCAAATTACAAAATGTCTACTCTACATGAATGTCCAATATTTCATATGCATTCATGAATATTCAACTAGATGTTGACTGATTTACCTTCCGTCGATAACTCGAATTGGTACTGAAGGGATCGCCACGGTAACATCACATTTAACAGACTGGGTTTCGTTGAGGAAGACGAGATTAATGGCAGTTCTGAAGTACAGATTATTCATAATGAGAATACGGGACAAGTCTGTATAAGTTAAACTCCATTAAAACACGACGAAAATCATGGCGTTCTTTTTTTTTTAATTAGTGCCATCATACAAGCATGACAGCAATTTCCTCAACGGATCGAGCCACTTAATTTCGCTGCTAATTATATTCTTTGAAATCTTATTATAAAATTTCCACTTTAACATCGGTACAGAAAGTTTTCAAATGCATAAGAAACTGGATCTCACTGAAATCTGAACAACTTATGACTGAAGTGTACCATCTTCTGGGATTTCTAAAATTTCCATCCCGTTGTGTGAGTATAATTAATGAAACAAAATCCACCGTTAACTCAACTATAATTTATTAACTTATGTTCCCCTACATGTTTCGACCCTTATAGGATCATCCTCAGGTGTTGTGATTTACATACATAGACTTAAAATTAAGAATTAAAAATTAATTTTACTAATTTTTAAAATTAATTTAAAAGTGTTGAATGCTGTATTAAACTTAATGTCTGTTGCTGTAGTTAGCAGTTATAATATGAATGTACATAGAAAGTAGTCATTTTAAGCATACGTATGTAAATATGAACACATGCTTTATAATTCAATAAAGAAAATGTGTATATTACAACACCTCAGGATGATCCTAAAAGGGTCGAAACATGTAGTGGAACTTCTTAAGTTAATAAATTATACTTGCATTGACAGTGGAATTTGTATTAGTTATCTTCTGGGATATAACGCCGTGTAGTCCGTTAAGTCAATCGACATTTCGGAGGAACATACCGCCTCCATCTTCAGAATCAAACAATATGCCAAGCAAGAAACACACGTGAAAGCAGGTGGGAAACTCCGCTGTCAGAACCTCAAATCGTACGAAAGAGGCTTACATTTTATAAAGGTTAAACAGGGTTAAATCTGATAAAAATTTTCGTGAACCCAACAGTCAGAAACAGGGAAAATTTTAATTTAATTTCAATTTTAAGAAAAATTAATGTCAAACACAAGGACGGAATTGGCATTTGCTGTATCAGACTTTGCGACCACTGGGGTCGTGGGTTCTAATCCTACCCCTGGCACGGATATATGGCGCTTTCTTCCCTAGGTTTGTGTCCTCTTGCGTAGGTAGAGGTCTCAAGATGGAACGTTCTCCCGTCCAAGGGGACATAACAATTCTCTAAGAGATTCACAGTATCCGAAGTCAGTTCTGAATTAAGAACATAATCCATAAAAGAACAAAAAGAGGAAACATCCGCGTCTGTGAAGTTTTGGCTATGTTTTCATTAATACAAAAACTACGTGATTCTAGCGTCTGTATGTGCAAACATCGAATGTGAAACGATTAACCGTTTTCCATAAGAAGAGTAAATAATCGTTTTTGTATTCAGTCCTGAACTGTGCATAATTTTGGAATTAATGATTATAAGTAAATAAAAAGCCGCCATTCTTAATACGAGCAATAAATATCTCTCAAACTTGAACAGATTAAGGGTTGTTTATACATACTGTATCGGCTGTAGACCGAACAAATACGCTTCTGTCAGAACTGGACACAAAAATAATACCGCGCTTGACAAATGCCTGAAATGTGCAGTTAGCGAAAAGGAGTTTCGTTAACCGAAATGGCTTCAGATTACACAGGAAAATTGTGATCATCATCATCATCATCGTGATCGTCATCATTATCATCGTTATCATTATCATCATCGTCATCATCGTTGTCGTCATTATCTTCGTTATCGTTATCATCATCGTTGTGGTCGTCCAAGTCATGTACATTTACGTACGTTTTAACATATCCGCCAAGATCGTTAAGAAATCCGCCATTGATAGTCGTACGTACGTAATCCTTCCAACCGCACTACCGCCCTGGGGTCGACTCAGCCTTTAACAGAAATGAATACCAGAAATCTTCCTGGGGGTAAAAATGCGGCCGGCGCATAGACTAACAACGCCTTCTCTGATCCGATTTTCTAGAAAACGTGCGAGCCTCGACGTCTCACAACCACATGGGCCTCCAAGGCATGTCACAGGCCTCACCTTTATCTCAATTTCATTTTTATTTGGAGCATATGCAAAGAACTAGGAAAATGTTATTTGTATGCATTTAATTCAAAATTTAAACGAAATTAAAAATATAATATTTTATATTGCTTACTTATGGATCTGACCCCTTGTTGAGGAGCAGCGAGTTCTGCTGCTACTCAAGAATTTTCAAGCATTTTATGGAACCCGAAGGTTCATTGCCGTGTTCACAAGAGCCCTTCATTGGTCCTTATCCTGAGGCAGACAAATCCAATTCATACCATCCTATCTTCCCGTTGAGCTCTTTCCTTCTGGTTTCCCCACCAATATCATATATGCATTTCTCTTCTCTCTCATTCGTGCTACATGCCCTGCCCACCTCATCCTCCTTGTTTTGAGCATTCATAATATTTTATATACATTCATAAAATTTTAATTTTAATGATCTGAAACTAGATTTTCTCAAGTTTATTTACTTCAAATTCTTCACATTACTTTTTATCAAAATGTAACAATTTGGACCTTCGTCTAACATATTAACTGACTGGTGGACAGTCTTAGTAACTGACAAAATCTACTTAATTTATTGAATTGACTGATAGAGTATACAATCTTCCAATATCTGCAAGCATTTCGTACAGAATAGAAAAATTAAACACGAAAAAGAACTAAAATCTTGCTTTCGTACAGTGTACACCAGACTACAAATATAAATTAATTTCTGCCAATGTACTTACTGCTCTGTGATATCCATGTTTCTCGCGGACGGACACCGCTGATCCTTGTCACCGACTTCACATATCAATTGAACACAAACACGTGCAAGATGTGTGCATTGACAGCCTTGAATCTTACTGACATAGGTCGATCCATATGTACAGTAATACGACAAAGTTAACTTCTACAAAAGCTAAAGACTGCACTGCAACTGCGAACTCTGCTACAGACAATTAATCAGAGGTTTAAACGTCCAATAAACAGTTAAGTTCCCCTTATAGGAAAGAAATATCAATTATATAAATAAATATTAATGATATATACCATGATGCGTTTTAAACTTTGTGTTACTTGTCAAAAGTATGATACATATCATGGTTATGTTCGAACTAAGAACAAAATTACAGTCTTTATAAAATTCGATTACATTTCAAGAAAATTCCTTGTTACTCAGAAAGGTAAAGACAATTGAATGCGAGATTTATTTATTAGACAAAATTCCTGCGCCATTAATTCTGCAATGATGATAATGTTTGCGAAGAGTTGTTCGTGACGCTAGGAACTGCCGCATTCGACGGTCTGTCCGCATCGGCAGTAGTAAGTCGACTGAGCAGTCGCTCCGGTTCCGCAGACTATGCGCCCCCACCGCCCACTTTTCGTACACTCGGCCCAATAATTTCCCTTTCCTGTCTGCGAGAAACGACTGTGAAGGGATGTTACTTCAGCCCCTCCCACATATCTTATTATGGAAGGAAAGAATATTATAATACGATTTAAATGCCTGTAAAAAACTTGCTAAGCAAATTCACGTAGCAAAGTCCTTATTGAGAAGCTGATAGTCGTTCATCTGTTCAATAAACTCTCCGCCTATATAGAATCCGAAATTTCATTACTGTGTTCAAGTAATCCCGCTGATAGTCGTTTATCTTTTCAAGGTATTTTCCGTCTATATGGAACCCGAAATTTCATTACTGTGTTCAAGTAATCCCGCTGATAGTCGTTTATCTTTTCAAGGTATTCTCCGACTATATGGAACCCGAAAATTCATTACTGTGTTCAAGTAATCCCGCTGATAGTTGTTTATCTTTTCAAGGTATTTTCCGTCTATATGGAACCCGAAATTTCATTACTGTGTTCAAGTAATCCCGCTGATAGTCGTTTATCTTTTCAAGGTATTCTCCGACTATATGGAACCCGAAATTTCAATACTGTGTTCAAGTGATCTCGCTACTGGTCACTATCTGGAGCTAGATGACTCAAATTGACATCCTCCCATATCATTTCTATAATATCCATTCTAATATTATCCTCCTATATATGCCTATGCACCGAGCAAGTTGAATGGTTTCCTTGAGTCCCTCCTTACAAATTCCGGGATAATGCCTTAAATTAAGCCACGATATTTTCAATTCACTATTCACTGCCATCCGGTCATTCATCACTACATACGTGTAGACTGAGTTACTTCAGCATTGTTAAATACGCTATAAAAGTGTACCTAGGTCTTCCGAATGAATCCTTCATGTACTCCTCAACTTCGTGCGTGACAAATGTCCTACGCGCCTCATGCTCGCTGATTTGAACCTCTGCAAGCGACGGATATGGCTTACAGAGCGGCCAAACTAAAGGAGCATAACGGCACTAAATGTTACTCACAGTCATGTTCGTGTAGAAGAGTTCTGTTTTGTGGGAAGTAACACCGTGTAGTCCGTTGAATGTCAACCAACGTTAAGAAGGAATATGTCGGCACAGCACAGAAGATTGTGATGCGTCTGACAACTGAAACTGAAGATGACGGACTCACCACAGCCTCGCGAGCTCCTATGGCCTTCAGTTCAGAACACTTTGCACTTCCTTACATGTATCATCGCTTTTCTCTTCAGAGAGGAGGTACCATCATGGAAGGAAAGAGCCTCACTGTACTTCACTATAAGTTCAAGAGCTCATGAGGGAGTGATAAGAAAACGACACGGATCTGCAAAGGGAACCAGTCTCACTCGCACTGAACATGGCTACTCCAATGAGCAAAAGTTGGAACAGTTTCAACATACCGTATGATGCAGCTAAGTCCAGAAAACCAAAATTACGTATGCAGTAGACACAGGTTACAAAACCTAAAGAATTATAAGACGTATTAAGCGCGACTCGGTAGTCTTGTTTTACAGAAATATATGTAATGTCTGTTCTTCACGGAAGTACAAAGGATAAACTGACCTAAATGGATGTGAATTAAGTAATTTAACGTGAATCTAAAATGAATGACGTGAAACACTTTTCATTTATTTTTAATCTCCCAGTGTTTACAATAAATTTACATGCACAGACATAAAATACTGTCACGTGTAGGGGTTACTCATAAGGTGGGGTTTGGATTGGACAATTGGATTTATTGCACAGCTCGGGATTACAGGTAATAAAGCACTATCGCTCATCTACATACTTTACGGTTCACCCTTGGACACACACTATGGTTCTGCGCCTTCACCAGTCGTATCTAAGCAGCGGATTTATAACAGTCTCACTGTCACATTAAATCACATAGGAAGTTTTCTTTTTCCGGCCTAATTCCTTTCTTGTCATGTCTTCTCAGGCACATGACTGTTATCTCCGTAACTCGACCAATTTCTTGACAACTGTTGAAAGACCTTCTTTGTCCCTTTATAACCCCTCGGAAATGACAACGCAGAAAGCAGAGATCCCGGCGGCGCCATAGCTCAAGCGATTAGTCGCTGGCTTCCCACCGCGGCGGCCCGGTTTCCATCCAGGATCTGGTCATCTTGGATTTGTGGTGGACAAAGTGGAGCTCGGGCGGGTTTTCTCCGAGTACTTCGATTTCCCCTGCCAATCTTCATTCCACCAAATTCTCCATCATCATGATCACCCGGGGCAGGCCACAATAGGCTAATTAGTGGCCGCCGTGCCGAGTGGATCCAGTTGGACTCCACCCCCCACTAAGCGAATTAAAAAAAGCATAGCTCTTTTATTGTTGATTCTAAAGGGTTCTGACGATGGCAGATGACACATAGAATTATTGGGGTTTTGGACTTTTTCCATTGTCCGGAATTTTAGGTAAGAGAGGTCACGATGTTTCGGAAACTGGATCTGTTTCCGTCTTCAGGTGAGAAAGGAAGACACCTACTCAGTTCGGGGCCTTAGGAAGAGCTTATTTCAATCAATCCAGTGATTGAGATTAGCTCTTTCTAAGGGGCACAACTGAGTAGGTGCCTTCCTTTCTCACCTGAAGACGGAAACAGATCCAATTTCCGAAACGTCGTGTCCTCTATTGCCTAAAATTCCGGAGGATGGAAAAAGTCCAAAACCCCAGTAATCCTCCTCTATTGTTGACAAGTCTTGCTCACTGATCCATTCCTAACAAGGGACGTCCTATTGTTGCGGGCGTACACTTCCGCGGGAATGTGTTTGCCGAGTCGTTGCCTAGCAATGAGTCTATAACTCACAATATAATAAAGTATCTGTATAAATCTGTAATGAATAATTAATTTATAAGTATAATGTAATCCGTAATTTAGCTTGCACAGAAGCAAACATATCTCCCCTTATCTCACGTCCTAACCATGCGTTCTGTGCTTTGTACGTTCAATATATTTTTCCTTTAGCAGATGGTATTTTCAAAGTGAAAAAGAATAAAAACTTTAATTTAATATCCAATAAAGAGAGAGAATCTTCTATGAAGATAAACTGTCATCATCTCCAAGAGCAAATGTAAGGCCTGCATTTATTTAAAAATCCATTTTCAATCTCATTTAATATTACAGAGCTCGAAGATTTTACAAAGTGTGTATTTCGGAAATATGCATATCTCTGCAAAAAAGAATACTGTTCCATGATAATTAGATAAGTTAGGATAGCTCATTCAGTAAGATGACTGGACGATCACAGATCGACTCCCTGTCTAGGTAGAAATTATTCTCTTCGTTACCAGAATGACACCTGCTAGGGGATCCACACACGTGCGTACACAGTTGATGTACTCATGAGGTAGTGCGCATGACATGAAGCTGAACGCTCACTTTCATCTCGCCCAGAGGTAGAACGCATATACTTCTACCTTCAGCCCCCATTAACCCTCACAGCATGGTGTTTAAACGTAGGAATAATTTATGTTCCCTACCACGTGTTGTTTGACTAACATGTGAGTCTGAATGCGCTTTTAATTGATTGTTTTCTATGCAGCAAAAAGTAAATAAAATGTTCCTGTCTCATCGTCAGAATGCAGAACAAAACAATACTATAAAATGCAGCTATTAGATATTTATAAAACGTCAATAAAATTCAAATTTGCATTAAGGAAGAAATTAAGAGCAGACTGAATTTGGCGAATTTATGCACCACTTAAATTCAGACTGTTATGTATCCACGTCTCGGTTCTAAGGATGCAAATACTATAGTATACATGACTACACGCTTGTCTGTTGGTTTGCATGGATGTGAAACCTGGTTTTTCGCATTAATGGAAAAGCACAGGTTGGAGATATTTGAGAAGATGTTGCTGTGGAGATGATTTGGACCTAAGAAGTAGCAAGCAGCAGACGCCTGGAGAAAACAGCATTGTGAGGAACTTCACAATTCGTATTCCTCGCAAAAGACATTAGAATGATGAACTGAAGGAGTATGATATTTAGGGTATGAGAAAGAAGGTAAATCCATAGAGCATTTTGGAAAATGAATATTACGGAAAGAGACCAATAGGCAGACCCAGGTCTCTATGAGATGATAATGAAAATTGAACTTATAATAAAAGGATGGGTGGTGAGGGGGAGGGGTTTGAGTAGGATTCATATGTCTCACAATAGAAACCATCGATGAACTCCCGAGAGCAAGGTAAGAAATACAGAATGATTCAAAATTATTGTAGGGGGTTTCCGTGGTCTATGGTTTTCACACCGGAAACAATAAAATAAAACTGCTTGTGGAATATAAAATAGTAACTCAAATGTTTTGAGTAAGCAGTTTCATGTTTTTATTTCAGATTTTAAAATTATAGGCTATGGATAATAATTTAGAATCACAATGTATTTTTATCCACGAAACGTTGCAATTTCTTGACTAACAAAGCGACTATTAGCTTCTCATTGAGGACTCTGTTCCATGCAGTTAATAACTTAGTTGAATAATTTTCAAACAAATTACAACGAATGTCTCCAGTGTGATTTGTATCATCATAACAAAATATAACTGACCCCTGTACGGAGAGGCGAGCGGGCAGTTAAGGGCTGTCGTAGAGAAGGCCAAGTACTGCAACAGGAACATTTCTCCTGAATAACCTGTTTGTCAAGTCCAGTGGAGATAAATGCATGAGTGGTTCTTATTGGAAATCTCGCTGATTTTTGGAGACTTCTATTGCAAGTGGGACGTACAACATTCGTTTATATGTCCGTTGCAACTTCAGCAAGCACATTATATCATCACAATCATTAATATCACCATTTGCAAGGATTGCTCCTTTTGGTCCGAAGAACATTAAAATAGAACGAAATTTAATTGAATATTGTTCCTTTTCCAGGTTATTCTTATTTTAGCTATTACTTTTAAAGGAAGAAGATGAATATAAAAACAAAAGAAAGGAAGTGAATCCATCAACTTGGAGGACACATCTTC